AATGCAAATCATGCTATGCATACTGCAGTTGTCTGTGTGTTTGGCTGTTTGTAACAGAAGCTGTTTTTAGACATGAACTCTGTAAAATGTCCGGACAAAGGGCTGGACATTTCCGGAGTTTGCCTTTCACATATGAAGAACATAGCAGGAGATTGTTCTGGTCAAACTTGATCACAACCGCAGCTTGATGTATATGACATGATGTATAAATTCATTGTCTTTCCATGTTGACATCTTCACGTGTCTCTGAGTCAACGGAGGTGCCCCCTTTAGGGAAAGAGAGTTTCCTCTCCTGTAGCCACCTCAGTATCCTTGTGTGGTGCCAACTCTCCACTCATCTCTTTAAGCTTAAGTGGCTACTTTTGATGCTACCTCACCACGTTTTAATTGAACAGTTTGGCTGTTCATTTTTACCACCAGCTTCCATGAAGGCACCGGCTGTTGCGTTTATGTCTTACTCTTTAATTTGCCACAGGATATACTGCATAAGGACAAGTTTTAGACCAAAACTGAAAATTTGAAGTCACTAAAATGCTATATTTGGTATTCTCTATTATCTATATTGCACAATCCATGTCGTGGTGCACTAATACACAGGTGATGACGAGACACCAGTGTACTGCCCACCCCGAGGGTCTGGCAAGAAAAGTTCTGGAAAATGTCTGGAGCAACTGACTCGGACATTTGTGTTCTCACTTAGCCCCACTGGAAAGTTTCACGATATGTCTTCAGTGCATGTCTGAAAGCAGCTAAAGAGTCATTATGTGTCTACTCTTCCAGAGCACCCAGTGGAAATCCGGTGGTAGAGAGATCACCAAGTCTGGCCTCCACATGCCAGGCCGAGATTCAGTCTTCACCAGCCCTGTCTCTGCAGCCAAGCCCAGCACCCCAGTCAGTGCACCGCAGCACAACGCCCCAAAAGAGGTGAGGATCACTAAACATAAAGAGCAGTAGACATTAAAGGTTTGTCTTGTCACATCAAAAACTATTTTTTATTTTTCACACCATTTACACAGTTTTCTTACTAACAGGCTGAACTTCACTGTTAGTAAAGGTGGAACATTCCAGTGTAGCTCTGTGTGTTGAAATCTTTGTTCTTGTTCTGTAACTATGTTTGTGATATGTGTAGCTGGCCCCCGTGTAAGCAAATGACGGGGTTTATTTAAACATAGTTATTATGTGTTAGTGTGGTTGCTGACTGAGATGTTTACTCTCTCGCCCTTTAAGTTTTCTGCAGCAGTGTATGTGCACTGTCTTCTCTCCAGTCCATTAAAATGCCATAAACTTTAATGTTCCAGAAAGTATCAGTTATCACATGTGCCACTGCATTTGACAATCTTAAAAGATTTTTTTAGAACAATATTCAGTCAGTTAAAATGACCGATGGTTGTTGACCTACTTTGAATTTTTACCGTCCAAATGGATTTGATAGCTGACTGATTTGTGTCGCGTGGCTTCTCCTGCCTCTTTCTCCCGTCACACCTGCAGCACCCTTCCAGCACGACTCCTCCCATAGACATCGCCCCATCGAGGCTGAAGCTGATGCGCCGCGGTCCAGACCGTAAGAGCGAGTTCCTGCGAGCTCTGAAGGACGAGGGCACTGGAGAGCTGACGACAAGCAGCAGCCCGGGAACATCAGGAGAGGTAGGCAGCGCAAGAGAGTGTGACGTATATCACTTCTCTGCATGTGCTGTCCATTCTGGAGAGATATGGACATTTTTTTGCTCTTCCATGAAAAAAAAGGCTGTCCACATTCTTACAGTCTTTTCTGTAGAAGTCAGTTTATTTACTTAAAAAAGTAGAGTCACGGTTTTTGTTTTTCTCTACACAAAGGACAGAAAATCAATGTCTGAACCCTCAACGTCCCCAAAAGTGATTGTTGTAAAGGACTAGTCTTTTAAAGTCAGTTTTGCAAAATCTTTCTTTGCAAAAACAATGAATCCATAACACCCAGGTCTCTTTGGAAAATTTGTCATTATCTGACTTTGGATGCAACAGACCGTGTTTGCTATTTTTTTTTGACATTTTTGTTCAAATGAAACCATAAATAGGAAGAAAGAGATACTAAATGGTACAAAGGTCCCCGCCCTAGGCCTCCAGGAGGTACAATTTGTAAAACCTGTTCTCTTGCTGTGTGAATTTTTTCAGGGCGAAAGCAACACACCAGAGCCCAAAGCCTACAGCGAAGAAGTCTGTCATGAGAACGGTCTGTCCTACTCCCTCAGCGACTCAGACACTGAACACCTGTCCAGCTCCCTGGAGGCAGAGCACAGGTAGAGTACTGCCAACAGCCGTACACACACATGCACAGACACACACACAGTCAACTAAGCAGAAAATGATTATGCTCATATAGGTTGCTGAAGGCCATGGGCTGGCAGGAGTACCCAGAAAACGATGACAACTTCCTGCCTCTGACAGAGGACGAGCTGAGAGAGTTCCAGACTAAAACTGAACAGGTGAGACTTCAGAGGAAAACTCTGATCAAATATACTTCATTCAGTATCATCCAATAATTTGATCTCTTTTTGTATTTAAGTGTTATATTTTTCACTTTCTAAACTGAAGTGGCATCTCACACTCCGATTGTCTGTGTCCTTTGACCAGCTGAAGAGGAACGGCGTGCAGAGGAACGGGGTTCTCCCAAGGCCGCGGGGTGTGACCCTCCACTTCACCCCCTGGAGGAGTGTGGCGGAGGCGCACGTCGAGGAGGGCTCGGAGTCCGAAACCAGTAGCAGCAGCCAGACCTCTGACGATGACGACTGCATCAAATCCTAACGTGGCTTTATGGAACAAAAAAGAAAAACAACACAACAGCCAACACCACATCCCAGCAAGCAATTCCCCCTCTTCCTCTCTCATCTTTGTTTTTAGAGCACCATTTTTGAATTTCTTTCGTTTTGATTTTTTTTTGTTGTTGTTCTTGCACAAGGGAAAAACCAATCATATCCCAGTGAAGGAGGAGATTCCTGCTTCGCCAGACGTCGTTTTCCCTGCGTTTCCTCCTTCACTGCAGTCCCTGCCCTCTTTGACCCACCACCCTCCCTTCTTCCTTTTTCTTCCTCGCTTTGTGGAACTGAAGTGTTCATCAAGAAAAAGAAGGGCAATGAATGCACACTTGATTCTGCTTCAAACAGACTAACTCATTTCATTGATGATGCTGATGACACATTATTAATGATATTAATAAAAATTGGTTCCTGACAAGCTGATATGTTTCAATATGAATCTGGCTACTGTTTTGTTTTGGGTCCACCCGTAGTTGACTTTGACTCCAGCCTCACAGCGAATCCTCGATTCTTATCAGCCTGAGTGACGCAATAATGAATTCGCATTGAAACGCTGCAGTATTGTATTGATCCAGGTTGTTAGTGTGCAGCTCGCTGTAGAGCAGCTGCTGTGTGCCAGGACGACGGACAGACTCCTGTGCCAAGAGCAACTGGAGAAGCTGTTCCCACTGAAAACATTCTCCATTATTTCTGGATATAATTATTATTTAACCAGTTTGAATTTACACTTAGGAGAAGGGTTGAAGCTTAAAAAAGGTTGTGGGACATTGTTAAAATTTTAATTTTAGCAAAGAGCCCTACTTTGTCCAAATCAAGTCATTCTAACAATCGCTTGTATTCAGACATTTAAACACACAGACTTTTAGATTAAGCTGTGAGGAAATGCTACTATCATTAAGTACCATTAAAACTTGAATGGCATACCTCTGCCATGACCGAACAGTCCTCTTATCAAACCACACTTATATTGACTTGAAAGTGAGAAGGAATTCCTGGATCTGGATCCCTGATCCGTCAGGGCTTCTTCCTTTGGTTACGTTCCACACCTCCACAAAATCTCATGGAAATCACACAGTCAGTTTTTGTGTAATTCTATACCTCACAAACAAACACTAATGAAAACACAACCTCCTTTGCTGATTTAATTTTTTTTCCATATATATATAATGTTAGGGCATTTGATTAAAAATCTGATTTTCAGGTATCTTATAAACTAAAACTGTCAGGTTACTTCTAAATAAGGTTTAACAAAATATGGACTTGTCCAAAAATGTAGCTACAAATAAAGTTCAACAAGACATTTCTTTAAAATCAACTTAAAAATAATTGTCCAAAAATATACTAAGAATGTGTCATCAAAATTTGAATCCAACTACCCCATAATAAAATGAACCTGTGACTAAACCTGTGAATACAGCTGCATCTACGACAAGTCAGCTTTTTAATAGAATTAATATGAGGCATTTGATAAACAGCAGCATGAGGTTGGTGCAATATTTGGTTTTATTCCTGTAAACTTGTTTTTTCAGTCAGTAGCAGCTCCATGTACCGAAAGTAACTTTGTAAAGGGAAGTAGCAGAATGAAGCATGTGAAAGATTATAGCTGGAGGTCATGTTTTGATCTGCATTTTTTTGAGTGAATTGGAATACACACAAAATACAGGATGGATCATCATGGAACGTAGTGAAGGATGTGGTCATGAAAGAAGTCATTACATTTTTAAACATTTTCAGTTTTCCCAGGGAAAAATGTATTGATCTCATATAATCAGGCATGTTTAGGGGACTGATAATTATGCATGTGCAATTTGAGGGTGAGTTAAGGGGACTGTTTGGCTTTGGGTGAGATACACGCTCCCAGAGGGTTATTCTAGTTTTAACCATATTTAGTTACAACTATAGCACCTGCAGGTATAGATGTGTTATATAATGGGTACAAGGCCCCTCACCCTCCACATGGAGGCTCTGAGCAATGACCACATCTCTGTCAGCGTGAAGGTCTTCAATGTCTCAACACTCAACTAAACAAATGTGGTCTGCCACAATAATCAGTGTTCACGACTGTGAAACTGACTCTTTAAGAACCTTTAAAAAGAAAAGAATTGACCTAGCTACATTTTGTCGTATTCCTTCTAAACGAATCAAAACTACAAAGCCACGTCACCAGGCGTTGCTATGTTAATGTAATTGATGAAGTTTTAAACACCAACGTTTTATCAAATTAGATTCTTTATTCAACTTTACAGTAACATATGTGAACCAACACGACCATAACAGACATAGATAAAGATACACATATTTACAACAGCAAACAAGTGTAGCAAGAAGGAGCTTGGCAGGACGGTGAATCTCTTGGGCGAGAGAGAGAAAAGTCAGGAGGGAATCCAGCTTCACTTACTGAAAGAGAGAGAGAGAGAGACTTCTATTAGATCCACAGCAACATTGAAAATCCATCTCAGCAGATGTTTCTGAGATGAAACCTGTGACTGAAAGACCGGTCTGTTTGTTCCAAGTGAAACTGTTCAAGGTGCATTCATGTGTTCCAATTACACAGTGGGTATCAGGGAGCCCTTAACTACTTATCTATAGACCATTTCAAAATACCAAATAAAATCACTTTATTTTCTAATATAATGATTTATCATGGCTGCACCAACTCAGAGAACAGACACATCAATTCAGATATGATTTCTGCGGGACTAGTTGTGTTACTCCATTCTGTTAAATAGTGGAAACGTGTGTGAAAAAGACTTCAGTGTCTCTCTCATACACAAAAATGAAAACTTGGTCTGAGAACTTCCTTCTGAAATTCCTCTGGTTCATGTTTTTCTGAGCTCTACGTATGACATCTCCATAATGAGCTTGCACCAAGTGTTACCAGATGAACTGTGCCTGGTGGCTCGCTGAACTTGTTCTCCTTACAGCAGAGCCAGAAGAGGTGAAATGTCCTGACCGAGCAAAATCTGTTGAGGAGGATCACTTTCCCCCTCTGATACGGCCACTTATGACACTGACAGCCACAAGTGGGCAAAGCTACGAGGGGTTCAAGAATCTTGGGGGACGGGTAGTGTAACACTGGAGTCTCACCTCTTGACTTCCATATTTTTTTCCTGCCCGTTAGTGGCGCTGCTGGCTTTGTCATCCTGCTTCACCTTCTTCACCACACCCTCCTTCACTGGACTCTCCTCTGGTTTCCTCTGAAACAAACAAAACACGTTCATTTACAGGAAACGTGTGCCATTTATTTTAAGGTTGCAATTTCAAAAAACAAATCCGGCTCCCTGACTCACCTTCTTCCTGACCAGGTGGGAGATGTCAGAGACTGGAGCTGAGGACGAGTGTCCGTTGGTGGAACTGACTTTTTTGGTTGATGTGCCGTTGATCTGGACGGAAAAATAAAATGATAAATTGGTCCTCAAGAAATTTGCCCAGTTATTTTATGTGGGTAATATCTAGAAATAATACAGCTTAAAAAAAAAAAAACAACCACACCTGTATATCTGGATTTCGTATGTATACTTACTTTTGAACTGGAGGCAGCGTCACCGTTCTGTAGAGCAGACTCTGGGAATGCAGAGGAAGTAGAGCCTCCCCCCTGACAACGACATTTACTCAGAGTTAAAACAATCTTTATATGTTGTCATAGTCAGATACAGGAACTTTTAAGAAGTAACATCACTGCCACCAGCAGGACAGACAAAGAAACTCCAGTATCTATCTACTCTTTTCAGAAATCTGTCTGTATGCAGCTCACACACGATAACATACAGAACCCTCTATCTTATCGGCTTCACACTTGGCCTGTGGATTGTTCAGGGTCCAAGTAAGAGTAGTGTCACCACAGGCCAAACAAACAGCCCGTTTCCAACTGGCAGGCTTCAAACGGCCACTACACTAGTACTGTTAAATGAAAGAAACGATTTTGAATAATATGAATGAATATTTAAGACTGTGTGTATGGGTGGTCCGGAAATATGAAGTCCAGAGAATGAATTTAAACCTAAATCTCAATTTTTTAATAATCACCACTTCTACTCCAGGACACAGTCTTTAGCCTGCATCATCAAACACAAAGCTGCTTTTCACATTTAAAAGATGTGACACCGACTGTATCTGTCTATCACTGCATCTAGACAGGTGATGATGCAAAATCACCACTCCCGGGTGCCTGAACTATAAATGCCCCGTCACTATGGAGACAATGATTCAGCGTCTATCATGTGAGGTGAAGAGTGTGAAGCGGACTCACCAGTGCATCCTTCATCGCCTCTGAGGCTGTTTTCAGTCCCTCTGTGGCGTCCTCCACCTTCTCCTTGATCTCTGGGAGCAGAGCCTTCAGCTCCTCCATCTCCTTCCTCTCGTCGGGCAGAGCCTCGGGGCCCTCGGCCTTGTCCAGCAGCTCCTGTAGTTTATCTGAAGGACGAGGTGGACGTGTTAGCTAAGACCATTTGAAAAATTTTTTTTAAAAAGGAGCTGCTCGCTGTAGCAGTCGACCCTGCTTACCCAGCCTGCTCTTTATGACAGAGATGGAGCTGTTGAGCTCGTCGACAGCCTGGCGGTACTGGAGGTTCAGGCTGTAGGTCAGGCCCAGCTGGTAGTGAGTCTCAGCGAGGAGGCGGCTGTCTGAGTCCAGGTGTTTCACCTGCAGCTTCAGACACTCCTTGAAATCCTCCAACGCCTGGGAGTAATTTCCTGAGGAGAGAATAAAGGAACTCAACACCCCCTGCTCAAGGAGAACATAAAACATAATTCCAGTGTTTAGGTGGAACTGATTCCACTGTTTTCTGTTACAGCTTCATCTCAGGGAGTTGATTGTAGTTGAATACGTGGTGCCTGTTTATCATTCCAGTGACAAAACTTCTCTTCCAGATAATTTAATTTCTCCATGACTCAACTATCAAAACAGCCCTTTAATGTATTGAGGAACAATTAGTTTTAATCTTCATTATTTTTACATTTAAAACTGCAGAAAATGCCCATCACCACTTATTAAGAGCTCAGGTAATGTTTTCCTACGGTCCAGAAAGAATCAAAATGTTTTCCAGTGATATACTAGAAAATGCTCATATCAGATGGCTGGGATCATTTTAAGTTCCCATTTTTAAATGGATGAGGATTCAAATTCAGCATTCAGTTGAAGTACAACTGCCTATTTGTCTGTGTTTATGTATGTTTATGGTTTTTTGTTTTAAAAAAATCTATATAAATCTGTTAAGAATCATACAACATTTATCATATTGATTTGATTGGTGGGTGGACTTGTTTGTACCTGATTCAGTAGAAACTTCACCGAGTCTCAGATGGGTCTGAGCTGCCATCAGCTGATCATCCTTCGACTCTTTCCTAATTGAAAGAAATAAAAGACGTCACCATGGAGACTGTAGCTCAGAGACTAGAAAGTTCATATCCTAACCATCATGTCTTCAACACTTCTGTTACCTCTGGTAAATGACTTTAGCCACTTCCAGCATCTCCCAGGCGAGCTGCAGGTTCCCCACCTCCTCCTCCTCCTCATCACTGTCCTGAGAAAACACACCGACGCAAGATTTAAAATCCCACTTACAATCACATGCTCATCCCACTCATTTTGATGGAGCTGATTGGTCAAGTACCTTCTCAGCAGTGCCTTCGCCTTCCTCTTGTGCGTCACCATCCATTTCTGCATCCTCCTCCTCCTCCTCCCCCTCTTCTTCACCGTCTGGAAACATAAAAATTGAGCGTTTAGATAAACTGAGCAACATGTCATAACAACCATCATAGAGCCATTTAAAATGTGAAGGACTGTATTTAATAAATAAGACCTTCTGCTTCCTCTGTGGATTCCTCGCCTTGTTTCTCCTTTTTCTTCTCGTCTTTATTTTCAGTCGATTTCTCCTCATTATTCTTGCCCTTCTTTTCCTCCTCTCCCTTTTTTGCTGCTTTCTGTTCTTCATCGCCAGCCTCAGCCTTTTCCACAGCACCGTTCTTCTCTGCCTTCTCACTCTGCTTCCCTTCAGCCTTTTGTGCATCTTCGTTTTTCTTCTCTGCCATGGCGTCGTACACCTGAACCCTCAGCTCGTCTCTGGTCTTCTCTGTTGGGAAAAGAGAGCAGAGTTCGGATGAGGCGCAAAAACATTCATCTTTGAAAAGTGGAGGCCCAAAAATGACAATTTCATGATCCTCAACCAATTCCTTTCCTCACCGTCGACGTTTTCTGTGCTCTCGACGTTAGAGTCTTTGGGTTTCTCTTCCTCCTCTTCTTCTTCAGGAACTCCTTCCAGAGCATTACCCAGGACTGAGTTCTCCATCCTGCAACAATACAGTCATTTAGTCTACACACTATCACTAGTTTATAAAAGAGTCATCAACACTATGTGGGGATAGTCGACAATGAAGTCGTAGATCATTGATTTTGTGAAACAATGAATCAGGAGCAACTGGGATGAAAACTGACGCCATTTTCAGACTGAATGGAAAATGTCCATAAAATTGGATACAGACATTTTCTGGAGTTTGTCCTTCTCATATGAAGAATGTAGCCGGAGATTGTACGAGTCAAATGCATTCATAACAACAGGTGCTTGTGCAGAGCATACAAGAGAGAAGATTGCACATTGCAGAAATCTGTGTTCTAGTTTTCTATACGGCACACTTGTGGTGCAGTTACAGTGAAACTAAAATGCAAAAGCTTCAGGAAGAAATGTATGTGTCGATTAAAGACCTTAACTGAGCCTCGACAGAGTGAAACATGATACTGTTATTGTTTCTGGAAACACTGGAACAAATGCCTGTACGAGTCCTAACAATGATTTAAATATTTTGGATTTGTGTGGTGCTTGCGTTCTCATAAGCAGCTCCTCAGGAAAATTCTGGAACTTGGTGCATGTTTGAAAGCAGCTTTAAAATCTCTTATCTTACCGTGCCAGGTCCAGGAGCGCTTTACCACACCAGAAGAACGCCTCTCCACACTCATCCGCTGTGTCACCATACTTTTTAGCCCTAAAACAAAACAACTTGTTAAACATTTATGCAAGTGGCAACGATAAGTAAAATAATTGATTCATTGCACAAAAACATGAATACTACATTAATATTTCAATGAAAACTAAATATTTGATGGTTCAAACTCCTCAAATGTGAAATTGTTCTGCTTTACTTTGTCCTACGTGACAATGATCTGGATATTGTTGGATACTGATGTTGGTCAGATGAGATTTAAGGAAATTGTGATGGGATTTCTTCCGGTTTGATGTTTTATAAACCGGATGAACATTCAGTTGATCAGAATAGTTAAAATTAAAATGATTGTAATATTATCAATGTGAATGCATAAGTGCCTCCCTTAGTCATTGCAGCCTTTATTACATTATGAAACAGACAATCACATTTTCCACAAAGACAATAAAAACTTTCAAAGTAAAAGTACTTCCTTTAGGACACATTCTGGAGACACATTTCAGGCTTGTTGCATTGAATCCAGATGTGTGTGAGATGCACTGACTTTCTGTTGTGATGTGTTTGAAGCGGCCTCAGTGTGAAGTCACAGTCTGAGGATTTGAACTCACAGCATGCCACAGGCCTCCTGCAGGGCGCTCACCGCCTCCACCACCTTCCCCATCACCAGGTGCTTCTTCCCGGTGCCGATCAGCTTGTTGGCCTCCTCCATGTTAGCGACACTGCACAGAGAAACACACTTTTCAGAAAAAGTGTGTGTGGGGGGGGGCATCTCAGTCTTCGTGGTAAAGCGGGTTTATGTGGTGCGCAGCCCACAGTTAATACATACCTTGTGCTGAGCGGGACAAACAGACGGTGAAACTTCAGGAGATGTTCGGAGGTTCGAGTCTCGCTTCGTCTCTCCCGCCGCTCACTCTGTCAACTCTTCTGTTTCAATTTGGCGCGAAATATCCCTGCCCTTTCCGGTCGACTTCCGTGTTCGTCAACTAGCGCGGGAGATTTCTTAAAGGCGCAGAGCAACACAACATGTCATTTTACTCGATTACTGCTCCTGTATTACTACTAGTGCTGCTATTACTACTATAGCAATACTACTACTACTACTACTACTACTACTATAAATAGAACAAGTACAGCAAGTGACTGAATGAATGAACAGTGTATTTGCCCATTTAAGACAACAATAAAAACTATAACAACAGGTTAAGTGCACATTTTATATCTGAAAAAAATAGGAATGAAGTATAAACCTTAGCCGATGATATTCTTTTCTGTTTATACTACTACTACTACTTTTGGTGCTACTATTAATTCTGCTATTTGCCCTTGGGTCAGATCTGTTATTGTATTGAAATGACTGTGAACACAAATTTCCCTCAGGGGACAATAAATTCTAAAGTCTGAAGTCTAAAGTCTATCTGTGTTACTGGTAGTATCGCAAATAGTAAGAGTACTATCACTGGTGTTTGATATATGTATCATTCCTAAGGTGCTGCACAAAAAACAAATTTGTACAATAACAATATTGCTTTCTAATTCTAACACTATCACAACTACAACCACTACTACTATAATAATATTATACAAATAATAATTTTATTACCCTTATTACAATACTACTCTTTTTGTCAACCCAAATGGGACTCTACTACTGCTTCTAATAGTCCTACTATTACAACCACTATACTAATTCTATTGTTATGACTACTACTGCAAATTCTACTTCGACAACTGTTGCTACTACAGTACAATGAATACTACCACTACTGCTACTACAACTACTATCATGGCCACTCCTTTTTACACATACTATACTAACACAGTTTATTCTACTTTTTTCTTTACTCATCTTCAGTATATCAAAGCCATTAATGTGTTTGGTTGATGACTTGAGTTAAAAATGATCTGCAGTTATCTCTGTTACTTTGAAAAGAAGACAGATTAAATCACATTTCTTTGTTATACCATGTATTCTGTTCGTATTTATGAAAAGAAATATTGTGTTGTATTTATTATTTGATCTATTTCATATTGAGGATTTCGGATGTGCACTACTACCTGTGCATCCCAGTATTTAAAGCTGTTCTCTATAAGATTAGATAATAAGATCATTGATCAGAGAAATTAGGCAGTGGTGGTCTATGTGTGTGTGTCTTTTTGTGTGTGTGTGTGTGTGTGTGTCCCTCAGTATGTGTGTGTTGTGTAAGTGCAATTCTAGGCTGCTGTCACGTCCTGCTGTGAGACACAGGGATTGTCCAGCTCCCCTCTGAGCTCCTCCTGCTGACTTCACTGCGTCGCTGCCTCATCAAGACGAGTCTGGACCTGGCAGCCAATCAACCTCACACTGAAACGGTCCTCCTCAGCCCTCCTCACACTGCCATCACCGCAGAGACCACTTTAACAGCTATAATTTCTCTGTTCAACACACCAAACACCACAACACCGCTTATTCAATCACACACTCCACTGTTATTCAGAGTGGAAAGTGAGTGAGTGAGTTCATCATGGATAAAGTCAATAATGTGGTGGATTAAACAACAATAACCAAGTAAATACACATTGATCACTTTGTACTCACCCTGCCTTTTAACACAGCATCTTCTCACCTAACGTTTAGCAAGAAACCAAATGATCATATTTCTCAAGCTGTTATTTATTTTATGATTGTGAATATCATTTGAGATCAATTAGAGCATAAGACAAAGGAAATAAGTAAATTAGAATACTTTGTTCACCGATTCAATTTTCCTTTTGTATCGGCTGCTTACATTTGGTGGGGGTATTAGGGGCTTCCAAGCAATACACATAAAAACCCCATAGAACAGCGAAGGAATATACATAATAACTATTAATCCATCATTGAATGCAGTATGTGATGCATTGAGACATAGGCCCCTGTAGCCCTTCATGTCAATGCTCTTTACGGAGAGAATTTCACAGAACTGCATTTATTTACTGAAATAGGATCAAATGATCCACCATCTTTCAGTCCAGCCTCGCATCATTTTGATCATTTGCATGGCTGATTGAGACCATTATGACGGACACACGAGTGCCCTTCAAATGTCCATTTGTTTTGGAATCAGCAGTGGAGCAGATGCACTATATTATTGGTACATTGTGAGACAGGAAATGAATGCGAGGCCTTGTTTGATCACTCACCCACCGCAGTCTTTCTAACAGGAGGTTATTGTATGCGCCCCCTCTCATCTGGCCCTTGATGCTGCGCCCATGGCAACAGCGTGCAAAGACGTCTATCTGTGACAGTGGGGAAGAGAGGGGGCAGGCTGAGGGGCTGTTAGAGCAGAACACTCAGGTGAAATAGTATTCTATATGAAAAACGCTGCAGGTTTTCTCTTCAAACTATGGATGAAAACACATGGAACTTAACAAATATTTATTATTATTATTATAGAATAAGATTGGGATGTAAAATTGTACTTTAGTAGCAAGGAAATCTACGTGTTTTTGGACTGTCAGCTGCAAATTTTGAGATACACTGTGACCAACAATATATGACTGAGTGAAACCATCTTCACCTCCCCCCTTGTCACACACAGGGGTTATTGTCACACGTGCAGTATTCGGTTCCCTCTGGTCGATGAACTGATAGATGCCATTAATCAGGAGAAAAATGCTGTGATTCAGCATGTGACTTGGGAATCAGTGAAATAATAATAATAAACCAAGCTCTCAAGAGACTAACTCTCCTGTGGAACACTTCTCTCTCGGGATGACAACTGCACTACGTATTCATTCATTAAGGAGCTGACATGACTTAATCAAGAGTTTACTTCTTCCCAGGCCCAGCAAACCATTGTGTGTAGTATGTCAACAGGAGTTATGTAATATTTTTTTAATTACACACAATAACAATCTGCACTTATATTGTTTGGGCTGAAGAAGAAATTTTTTTAAATGTATTTCCTCCTCACCCTGGCTTTATTTACACAATGGCTGAGCTAAGGAACAGTTACCTTTCTCTAATCATTTTCACTGCAGGAAACAGTTTTTATAGGCTAAACATCATTTGACTTGCTATTTTTACTCCCTGGTAAGAGAGAGACAGTTATTCTAGTTTGTCAGTTACAACAAACTACTTGTGAACATGCAAAGAGAATAGTTGCTGTTGCTCAGCTGAGTCATTGTGTAAACAGTGGTGAGGAGGAAACGAGAATAAAAAAAATGTCTTCTGCAGCCCACAGGATTATTCCAAGATGATGCAACAGACCGTCCCATCCGTTTGGAAATGCTACCCAGAGTGACAATGCAGGAAACATGGAGAAATGGCAAGTGCAACCATCTCATAGAGGTTGATAAAACTAAACATATAATGGTCTCAATGCAGCCATTCAAACTCACATCAAATCAACTTAGAGTCAACCAGGAAGCAGGAGCAATCCCACACTGACACAGGGAGAACATCTTAACTCCACAGAAACAGACCTGAGTCTCTATCTGTTCCAAGAAATGATAAATGTGTGCTGTTTTTATTTGTTTCAAGGACTATAAGCCCAAGTTGGACTGTTTTGTCTTCATCAAATCTATTTACCGTGTTGGTCCTGGGTTTAACGTGTTCATTCCACAAAGCAGACTGAGCGAAAGACCAATGAAAAAATGTAGGTTGAATGGGGCGCTGGCTGCCGGAGCGGGATGGTTAATAAGTAAATCACTGGCTGATAAGAGGCAAAGGCAGGAGCTATGTGAAGATTAATGTCTGTCCTGACAACAGATTTCCTCCAAACCTGCTCCACACATGCTGAAAGAAAGTCATATGATAAAACCTCATGATTGTGTGACCCTTGCTTGGATTAGGGAGGTGAGCCACACTCTGGCTCTTCAGGCTCACATGAGCAAATCAGCTGCTGAGTTTACCAAGGGATTGAATGCAGTTAATAAACTGTCCCGGCCACAGATTTCTCTGAGGGGTGATGAAATATCCCAGAAAGCTTCCTGGAGGACGTTTTATTTGCGTCTTCATCCTCATTCCTTGCATGTGGTATCAGCAGAGCAGGAGGATTCACAGAGGAGCCATGTGGAAATGTGCAGAGTCATGCTGTGTAGAGGTTTCTGCACCTCAAGTCTGCTCTGTGGTCACGTTCTCAACCGAGTTATCGCGAGAACCAAGCGGGGCTATAAAGTCCCCGGTGGACGCGTGAAGTCCCGCACTCCTGTCTCTTCCTGCCGGTGTCTCTGTGGATCAACCTGAGGTATGTTCATCCTAACACATCTCAACACATCTCAACACGTAGAAATACTTGTTTTTGTTTTTACTTTTGAAGCTTTTACTTTTTCCCCCCAAGTTGTTCGGTTCATGGTGCGTTCTTCACTTCTGTCTGTCGCCGAAGCGGAATTCAACAAGTGGTTTTTCACGCACATCTGTAAAAACCGAACATGTCTTTGAGAGTAAAGGTGGATTTGTGGATAGTTAACAGACACATTTCCACCGACAGGAAACACACACATACACAAAAAAGTGTTTGTCAAATCGATGTGATGTCGATATTTTGCAGCTTCTGCAGTGTTCATGTCAATAGTCAAACTACACCTCCTGATAATGTGATGATCTCAGCTGGTTCCACGAGATGTTTGGAATCGAGCTGGATGTTATTGTGCGGAGACACCTGCGAGTTTGAACTGAGAAGTGAATGGTTCTTATGTTTCAGAGACCATGTTCGGAGCATCAGTAATGACTGTGTGCTGAGGTTTACAGAAGGATCTTAAAGTCAATATTTGATGTCATATAGCTTACATCACAGACCAGTCTCTGGTGTTCCATTTTAAATTGATTTATAATTACTGTTATCATACACTTATCTCCCACATTTTCATATAAATTACATATCACACTAATATGCCCCAAATAATTGTGCGATGCTGTAAGAATGGCAGTCACACGTGTGTTATGTCTTTTGCCATTTTTGCAACTTAGTTAATTATTAATGACCATTAACTGAGTAAATGTTTGTCTTTAAAATGTCACATAAGAGTGAAAATACCAGTTTTACGTTGAAAGTGATATTAGGGCTAAGTAATAAAACAATATAAATTATTATCGCAATATAATTTTCATCGATATCAAAGTCCGATATGATATCCTTGATGCTTATGCATTGTGCAAGCAGAGTAAATTGGTATAGTACCCAAGTTTTGAACCACATCACTCCGGAGCAAAAATCTTTCTTTATTATAAGTAATATATCGTGATGATGATCGATTTGGACTTGGACAGGGTTTTGTTTAGTCTGACAAACACTATACTTGAGTTTGGAGCAGTTACTTTTTTAATTAATCTATGATCACCGTTGTCCCATTCATTTTCTGTCATTAATGTTTAATCATTTCCTGTCTAAGCAATGCATTGACCTGTGTAATACCTTAATTCATCACGATATATCATCAGATTACAGATGATGAAAATAATTACTAATTCGACAACAGTTCTTTCATTAGACATGGATCAATTGGGTTAATATTTAATATAATATCCTTGTCCTGTAAATGAGGCAATTAAATGGTTTAGCCATGATTTCACATACACTCAAAAATCTTTTGTGATTTTGAGAAAAGAGTTTAATACATAATCTTTTTTCCTTTCTTTGTAGTCTAGTCAACCTGAAGATGGCAGCAGGCAGTGCACAGATCGGAAAGCCGGCCCCGGACTTCACAGCCAAAGCGGTGATGCCAGATGGACAATTCAAGGATCTGACACTATCAAACTACAGAGGTACGACTTAACGTGTGTCTCATCTCCTGTTGGTCAGAGGACATGCTTTGATGCCACTCTCCTCCCCCTGTTTGAAATCCCAGCAATGTTTTGAAAAGACATTCATTTACACTACTAAAGACAGGCATTCATTAGACTGTTACCATAGTAGCACCATCACATGACAAACTCAGTGGGTTTATTTATTCCTTCCTTTGTTGCAGGGAAGTACGTTGTCTTTTTCTTCTATCCACTGGACTTCACCTTCGTATGTCCGACTGAAATCATCGCTTTCAGTGACGCTGCTGAACAGTTTAGGAAAATCGGCTGTGAAGTCATCGCTGCCTCTGTGGACTCACACTTCTCCCATTTTGCATGGTAGTTATTAAGCTTTATTTCTTAAACTCTCACAGGATGGGGGCGGGCATGCACTTGTAAATACCTGACTTTTTTTGTTTATATTCACAAAGGACCAACACACCACGTAAGCAGGGCGGTCTGGGTACCATGAAGATTCCCTTGGTATCTGACACACGGCGCACCATCTCCACAGACTATGGCGTCCTGAAGGAAGATGAGGGCATCGCCTACAGGTAAGTTTAACAATGTGAGTCTTGTAAAGTTCGAACCAAAGAAACCAGTCTGCTGGTCCTTCTGCTTCCAGAGGAGGATTGTACATTTTTTTTAAACATACTATTAAAGATACCACCCGATATTTCAGGCAGTGAAGGGGGGAATACAGACTGTAGTGCCAGCACTTCTTTTTTTTGTAACACATTTGTTACGTGTGTGCTTATTTCACTGAAACATCACATTACCACCAGTATAGCCTCTTGCATGATTTTAATGCAGGGAAAATGTCTGAATGGGGGTGTAGGGCTGGTTTACACTTCCTTAAATGTAGTTTCTCTTCTCTTACCTCAGCACAGCTGGCAAATCTGAAGTGGATGTAAATATCTGACAGTTGGTTTTGAAAAGTTGTTGAAATTGTCAACACCTTCCTATCTGAGGGCTATTCAACCTTCTGAACAGAGTATCAATCCAGCTCCAGGTCATTATGAGCTGTTCTTTCTCTCTATTAAAGGGGTCTGTTCATCATTGACGACAAGGGCATCCTGAGACAGATCACCATCAACGACCTCCCTGTTGGACGGTCCGTAGAGGAGACCTTGCGTTTGGTCCAAGCCTTTCAGTTCACCGACAAGCATGGAGAAGGTAAGTTCCTGCTACACTTCTGTAGTGCTCTAATGTTGTCCATTTTACCTTCTTACTCCATACAATACTTATTTATTGAAAAATTCTAGCAGTCTGCTTCTAAAAGATTTTAAGTGTGCTTGAAATGTATTAACTGCAAGTGATGTGATTAAAACTTTCTCCATGACACAAATGCGCTCTTGTTAATAATTTATCCACATTTACATAATTTGACCTGCTGCTGACTGCTTAGAGAGGAGTTGCATCACATAACGCAGAAAGGGCAAAGACAATAAGGCCTCAAAGGTTGGTTCTCCAATCAGTGCCCAGGTTCACATGAACTTTACAATGGGTTGTAAAACGATTGTGGACAATAGATTGTGTAAAGTTCCCTTCCTTAAAGCCAAAGCAGTGACAGTCATGTTCTGTTAATGTGTTAAAATGTCACATCTTTAGTTTGATCTGCTGGGCCAGGACTCATTACAGGCTTATCTTTTTCAGTCTGCCCAGCCGGCTGGAAACCAGGAAGTGACACCATCAAACCTGACGTCCAGAAGAGCAAAGACTTCTTCTCCAAGCAGTAATAAGCCCAAAGCCACAGTGTGCTGTCTGCTGTAGGAGATTTCATTTCGAGATTACATTTCCCAAGAACAATATTTAAGTCAACCGTTTGTGCCTGTGGAAAAGGTGGCAGGTTTTTTTTTAGTCAACGAGATTATGTGTGGGTTCTATTGTGTGTAGAGCAAATACTAGTAGTGCACTTATGACCAAAGTATATCATTTTGTAATAATACTGTGCTAATGTGTGCTATTTTTCCTGCCTGACTGTGGTCAATGTTTGTTCTTTCATATCTGTCCTTACTGTTGTGTGATACAAAGAACCACACAAACCAGTTTTTAAGTTGAACGACAAATGTTCTTTAATTGAAATAAAGAAAACAATGCATAACACTTTCCGCAAGAAAAATATTTACTTGAAAACAGGTGGGATGGGTCGTTACACTAGATTTCACCCGTTTTCTTTCTCCATTGCTCTGCTGTCAGTCTTGTTGTACCTGTTTTTTATACCCACAAACCAGATGCCTCATCATTTTAACAGTTCTTTGACTATAGTTCCTCCAGATAACAATAATCATGAATTAGCATTAAGTTCCCTGTGACAAAGGAAAGAATAAATAAATCCAATGATTAACAGAGCTACAATTATCTAATTCATCCATGTCTTTTATTGTGTTATAAACCAAACTAACTGAAAACACCTGAATAAATAGACTGGGCCTTGAATTTAGCATTTTGTTAAACCTAATACCTCATGGCAGATATTTTAATTACTCCCTGTTTTCATTTAATATTTAAACATGGCTGCAATCTAAATCAATCAAATCAGTCATTAATGTGAATTATTTAAAACATCCCTCTTTGTTTATTTGACTCGAATCAATACTTCTATTTGGAAAGTAGATTAATGAATTGATTAATACAGAAGAAACTATTCTTCATGTCAATTGTTGCATTTATTTAGTTATTTAATACATAATTTGTTGTCCTTCCTATATTTCACTTTAAATGCTATTAACATTTGGACGAATGCACTTCTCATAACTTCTAAGATCAGGATTAATTATTATTATTATTATTATTATTGAGTTCATATCTGGGGCGGGAAACATTCATCATAATCTCTTCTGTTTGCTTCTGGCTGTGATATTAGCTTTAGCCACGTTTGACTTACTTTATTTTAACTAATCGGAATATAAAAACGCTTCTTTGAAGGCTTCCCGAGGAGGAGGATAACAATGGTTTTCACGAGACAGTGACATGAATATTGTTTTCTGTTTTCTGGAATCAGCGGAGGTTAAATATTAAATATTAGCTAGCTCGTTCATTAGCATTAGCGACACCTAGCTAGATAGTTAACACTCGGTAACAGGAGAGGAAAATGGCAGCAGGGAAGATGTGCGTCAGGGAGAACAAGGAGGAAACTGCAGAGGTGTGATAAAGATAACATTGATAACATGGTTATTTACTCAAACTCTTTACTTGTGTACTGAATAACCTATTTGAGATAGTGAATTAAGCTATCTGTGAAGTTTAGAGCCAATCATACTGTAATGTTAGCTAAAGTGTTTCCTCCTGTTAAACAACATCATGGTTGTTGTTGTTTAGTGGACAGGGTTGTTCCTGAACGACCTGAGAACCAGGCAGGAGTCCCTGGTCTTTGTCAAGAGGATGATGGCTGTGGCCGTCTCCTCCATCACTTATCTCAGAGGGATCTTTCCAGAGGAAGCCTACAGATCCAGATATCTGGAAGGTGAACACACAATTGGATGTTTATTGTACCAACACAGGATTTTGTCACAACCACGAGGTTTTAATTGCATGTACTACTGTCTAATATTCTGTACAGAGTGAGACTGTGGGCCTCCCCTCAGACAAAACCCCATTCCATTTTGCTGTTTGACATAACTCCATACTACACCGAGTAGATAATAAAGGCCTGTTCGAAAGCATTTATTAGTTTCTGTCTCTGGGAAAGTTGGAAAAATAGTAAAACTCCCTCAAACTACTCAATCTCTATCTCTTTAACCAAATCATACACATTAAGTTTACTATATGTGATCTTTTTTGTTATCTAACATAATGTATTTTTCATTTCCATTCGCTGAGCCTCTCCTGAAACTGTTTGGAGCCTCCCTGAAGATGCTTGCCTCACACTTTGAAAACCTCTGTTCTATACAGAACCCTGCTAGCTCCAGAAAACTAACTGAAAATACACAGTATTGTACAACAGGCTACGAATGAGTGCTGCTATATGATAAATGCTGTTTATTTTCTCTTTTGTTGTTTGCCATTTTACCAGATTTGTGTGTCAAAGTTCTACGTGAAGACTGCAACAGGCCTGGTGCCAGCAAAGTTGTGAAATGGTAATAATAATAATATTCCTGCCATAACACGTCCAAAATTATTACAGCCTGCTGGCCACAGCAGCTGATTCAATACGAGAAACCAGACCAGACACATTTTTAAAAAGGAAAATCATATTCATTTCCCTCCATAATGTTTTTGGATTTTTAATATTTTTGTTCCAGGATGATGGGCTGCTTTGATGCCATAGAAAAGCAGTATGTAAGTTAATGCGTCTATGAATACTTTGACTTGTTGATGTTTTATCTGGTCCTTTATCACTTTATTCACTAATGTTCACTGTTCACCTCAAAACAGCTCCAGATTGTGTTCATCGGGGTACGTAAGTCAGCAGCACTTATTTGTAACACATTGTTTACATGGAGAAAAATGATAACTGTGCATTATTACTATCTAGGTGTACACCAATCCAGATGAACCCAATGTAAGTTCTCTCTAAAATATACTGAGCAGTCAACACAAAATGCAAGTTTGATCAACACTGAGATTTATTTGTCTTGTGATGCAGTGCATTATTGAGTCTTACCAGTTCAAATTCAAATACACTGAGAAGGGACCAGAGATGGACATACTCAGGTTTGTTTGGACATTCTACGCTTGCGTTTGTCACAAAGATGCTGCCTAAACATGCGGGCCAATGGTGATATAATCTTCATAAAACTTCAGGAACAATGACATGAAGATGCAGGTGACGTTGGAGGACACCAAGAGAGCATCGGTTCTGCTCATCAGGAAGCTCTTCCTGCTCATGCAGAACCTAGACGCCCTTCCCGATAACGTCTACCTCACCATGAAGCTCTACTACTATGATGACAGTAAGATGTAGTATTCAACTATTACCTCAGGGAATCAATTAAAAATATGTGGATTGGGAAGTGAAACTTTTTATTTCTGCTCTCCGTTGTAAGTCACTCCTGCTGAATACCAGCCACCGGGCTTCAAGGAGGGTGAATGTGACAGTCTGTGGTTTGAAGGCATGGCTGTGCACTTCAAGGTGGGGGAGGTGCAGACGGCCTTCCACAACTTGAGAGTCCGAGTGTCGGCCGAACAAGGCCGCATGGAGAGAATTCAGGAAGGCAATCAGCTGAGGGAGACCAAGCAGGTTTCTCAGAGAAATCCCTCAGCGAGGCGAATGATCAAGGTGGGTCCAGAGGGAAGATTAAGAACTGAATATTTGTGTGATCTCAACTCTGGTTTACATGGTTTCCTCATCATCATTTTTTTACAATTGTTAAAACCTCATTGCAGACTCCTCCAACGAAAACATACAATGAAGAAGATCTACCCTCTGAAGATGGCAAGTAAATTAATGGTGCTGATATATAAGTGTGAAAATGTCTGAGGTGATTCATTAATGACTTTCCTTTAAACAGAGTCTGCACAGTTCAAGAAACCCACCAGACCTGTGGCAAAGGTAAACATGTTTGATTTTGAGACAGATTGGAGCTTCTCTTGAATTGTATCAGGGGTTAGTGAAAAGCAGAGAGGTGATAATCTTTTTCTCTATCTCAGAGACAAGCAGCTGCCAAAAATCCGACAAGGAAGAAAAAAAGAACTTAGTCAAGAAGACAAGAGCACAAGTCCAACACACGTTTGAAAACGTTTTATTTTATTGTTATTTACAGACGGTGTTTTATATGATTACCAATTGAGTTAAACTGGTCCTTTCTGTCATTTGTCCTCAAAAGCAAAATGTTCCTTTCACAGTTCTAATCCAAACAACACTGTAGCGTAACAAGTTTACAAGAAAAGTACAATCTCTATGATTTAAATTAACACATTGTTCAAAAGTTCTTCATTCTTCTAGTACTGTGAGTGTATAAAGATATATTGATATGTTGAATGTTGTTGCTAGAAATAAAACTTGGTTGTAAACTTTTGTTTGTGTAAAAAACTGTAAAATGTATTTCAAATTTAAGTCTACATATCTAAGAAAATACTGAGCGAGGTGGAACTGCTGTAGTGCAATTTATATAACACAAAACACATCTTATATATGCTGAAGTAGCTATACGCCTATCTAATTAAATTAATTTGGCACAGACAATAATGCTTGCTTTTAATTCTTACATTTTTCCAGATCAAGTCACATTCGTATTGTACTTAGTTAGCACAGTTTTACTGTCTCACTTAAGCTGTGTCACATTTTCCTCCAATTCACAAAAAACTGACACACATGGCTCAACATTCATGACTGGATTGATCAAAACTTGCTTCTCATCACTTTTGATCACTGATGTTTTATTTTCCCTGAGTGATGGATGAGATGTCCTGGTCCAGACCATCTGCTCCAGTTCTTCATCGTCCTCCGTGTGTGTGTAAACTAGAAGAGACTGTCCACGTCGCCCATTTCCACAAACACTGTCTTCAGCTGGGAGTAGTGCTCTATGGTCACCTGGCCATTCTCCCGCCCTATGCCTGGTGAATGTAAAAACTTAAAATGTAAACTTCAAATTACTGTGACTGGGTAGTAGTAAACAGGGTTTTTGAATAAGGAAGCCTTTTCCACCGAGGTCAGATTAGCTACTGATGACGTGTTACACTTTACAAGAGAGCAAAACGTTTTAATTTAAGGCATATTCCAATTATTTATATTATCTATTCTTTAAAATTAGCCAAGTCTGTTGCAAGAACTTAATGGTTGCAGTCTTCAATGCAGACTGACATAATGTAAACAACAGTTAGAATTTGGCTCAGGGTCTACGAGCAAACAACCAGACTGTACCTGACATTTTGAAGCCTCCGAAGGGCACTTCGACAGGAGTGATGTTGTAGTTGTTAATGAAACAGGAACCAGCCTTGAGGTGTTCAACCACACGATGGGCTCGCCTCACATCCCTAAAGAGGTCCAATGAAAGGTTTAAAGAAGAAGTTTACACAACACTACCCTGTTTGAAAAACTGTGGGAGACACAGCCCTTTAAAAAACATTGTATCCAAAGTGCAAGAGTTCAAAAGTAATTAACAACAAGGGAATGAAATGTTTCCTGGGCAGCTGTGGTTTCACCTAAAGCTCATACTACATGGTACCCAGTGTTGACTTGAATGTTTAGAGTTGCAGAGTTTTATTTCATATGTTTTAGATCTGTCTATACGGCCCTGTTTAAACCTGGTATTAATGCCACACCTGACATTAAAACATGTCCTGAATGTGTTTCCTGTGACCATTGGTGATTGGATCTCACTTCCCAGCTCAATATGCAAATATTCACTATGTCATTTGTGTTCCCCAGGGCCACATGATGTTGTTTGTTGTTTTGAAAATAACCAACCTAAATCCAGGTTCTTCAAAAAGACATTCTTGTCATTTGAATTTTTTGAATTTGTTGAATTTGCCTTAGATGCCTCGTCATGAACCAACCTGGTGAAAACTCCTGCAGCCAGACCCAAAGTAGTGTTATTGGCTCTCTGCAGCACTTCCTCTTCTGTTTCAAAAGACAACACAGACATGACAGGACCAAAAATCTCCTCCTTCACACAGGTCATCTCATCTGTGCAATCACCTGTGTGTGGGAAAAAAAAGACAGAATAAGTATCTGGAAATCCTGACACTTGGGCTGAATCCCACTAACTCAGATCATTGTGCCACTGCAGCCAGAAACAGAGTGAACAGGTTTCTGAAAGAGTAAAGACAGCCCTTTATATTTTCTGTATGTGCTGTATCTACTGAGGAATGTTTTCAATTCTTACCCAACACACATGGAGTCATGTAGTATCCACCTTTGAGTTTGGGGTCTGATGGGACAAAGACTTCACCTCCACACAAAACTGTGGCTCCCTGGAAACAGTACAATTCACAACCAAGTCTAAGTTTAGGCAGCTCTACACTAATCTGTTGACAAAGAAAAAACTGGACATCTTGTACCTCTTTCTTCGCCTGATCCACAAAGGATAGGACTCTTTCTAGATGTGGCTGGTTGACCAGTGCTCCCATTCTGGTGGTCTCCAATAGTGGGTCTCCTATCTCAATCGCCTGGGTCCTCTTCACCACCTCCTCCACAAACTCAGGCAGAATATCCTTCTGAACAAACACCCTTGTCCCGTTGCTGCACACCTGTCAGACATTTGGCCAAAAATCTTAACCTGCTTTCAGACATGAACTGAACTCCGGGAATTTTCATACGTAAACTGAAAACTTGTGTCAGTACCTGGCCTTGGGACAGGAAATTGGCCATGAGAGCTCCCCTCACAGCGTTCTCCACATCACTGTCCTGGAATATGAGAAGAGGAGATTTCCCCCCAAGCTCCAGAGTCACTGGTTTCACTCCCTTAGATGCCATCTCCATGATCTGTGTCACAAAGTCACATAGAAGAACATATCAATCAAATGCTCTGGTCTCACTTCAGCCTCAAAATCCCCAACACCACATCTATAAATCTCAAAACTTGCACAAACAAATTTTTCGATCGTGAGAAGTATTTCCTGAGTTATACGATTTATTATTTAACTTCTCACACCAATAAAACAAGGAAAAGTTGACAGGGTTTGCAGAGTGTTTAGTACTACTGTATGAATCACACTGACCTTCTTGCCTGTGGGCACACTCCCAGTAAAGGACACCTTCGCCACATCAGGGTGGAGGCATAGGAAGCTCCCGGTCTCCTGGCCGCCCTGCACCACGTTGAACAGTCCCTCTGGAGCTCCAGCCTGAGCATAGATCTCTGCCAGCATGACGGCTGTCACAGGTGTCACTGGTGATGGCTTGAACACCATGGAGTTACCTGTTTTACAGAACAGAAACAAAAAGATATAAAATAGATTATCTAACTAGAAAGCAACGAGGTCTGCATGACTCTCCAAATTAAATACAAATACAATTGTATTGTTACATCAAGAAATAGGGAAGATTTTTGGAAGTGTCAGACTCATGACCATTGAGATATGACTTTTTAAATTCATCATGCTGCTGTAGTGCCATCTACTGGTGAAGAGCCACTATGTTTTTAAGGATTGTTCAGGGTAGACGTGTATAGCTGTCATTTTAATTTGGCTACGAATTGTAGCAGTTTACGTTAAAGAGCCAACGCTAAAATAATTTAAGAAAAGTTCAAATCAGGTTTCAGGTTTCTCAACATATTGTATGTCAAATTGGAGAGAAGCAACTTTATTTTGACATTTCTATTACTGTTCAGGAGTTATGAGCCCATTCAATTGTTAATGCTTCATCAATTGTTGCATTGTGAGTAATCCAAATCCCAAACCGTTAAAACCTTTTCCTGGACTCATAAAACTTTTTGACATTTATTGAAATATTTATAGTAGTTTTTTAGATATTCTGCAAAACACAGGTAAGCAAAGCATTGCCATCTTGAAATATTTAAAGTATAACAACAGTAATAATTGATGTATTAATGGGTTTATGAATCCCATACCACAGGCCAGGGCTGGAGCTGATTTCCAGGCAGCTATTTGAAAAGGATAATTCCAAGCACCAATGCCAGCACAGACTCCTAAAGGCTCCCTGCGGGTGTAGGCAAAGGATCCTCCAGGTAACTGCACATGTTGACCTTGTCAAGAGAACATAGAAGCATGGGCATCAAAAAGAAAGGTTAAATTTGATTTAATAAAGTTTTGCTTCTTAAAGGTATTGACTAGAAATTTTAAAAAACAAAGATCACAAAAAACAACCACACAAACAAACAGATATGAAAGTAGTACCTGTACCAATACCTATAAAATTAATTATTTAAATTAATTTGATCTGAACAACACAGTCCATCAAATTGGATTCTCACACATTCAATATTTAAAATTGGCCAATAAGCTCATTATATAATGGGCTTTCCCACTCGATCCTGTAATTAATAAAAATGATGAATCCTACTGTTAAGCTAAATGCTGCCATAAACTTATTTGCCATGTGTCATTGAAGTGTTTGGGAACACACTTACCTACGAAGTGAGGGATGTACTAACCTGCCAGAGAGCTGGCCAGCCCTGCGTAGTACTCTATACACAATCTGGCAGAGTCCACATCCAGACGGGCCTCTGTGATGGACTTCCCATTGTTGACCACCTCCATTTCAGCCAGCTCCTCTCTCCTGCTCTGTACATGAAAGTCATGACAAATGTAATAAATTATGTTAGTATAAAACATCATGAACTTGGTAGAATCTATTACCTACTGAGTTCCATTATAGATTTTATAATAATCATATCAACAACCACATCCTTTTAACCAGTTTAGGTACTATGCAGGGATAAAAATACTAATAAGTACACAGAATACACACCTCAATTATATGGGCTGCTTCTATCATGATCCTCGCCCTCTCCATCCCAGACATTTTGCTCCAATGGCCAAAAGCCAACATGGCAGATTTCACAGCCTGATCGACATCCACAGCACCACATGGCTCCAAATGGCACAGGACTTGCCCTTCAGTGTGAAACATGTGATCATTACATTACAGTGCATGGGTTAGATATAGAAAAAACAACAGGTTCCAACGTTTCTATTTCACTTGATCATTTAATTTGTTCTGATTCAAAGTTATGTGAGTGGGAATTAAATCTAGGTCACATGCTGGGATACACTGAATGTAGGGGGACATTTGCATTGCAGAGTTTGAAGTTTCATATGCAGACATAGGAGTAATAAGATAAGGATGGGTTGAATGCATGCTGTGCGAGTTTAAAGGGGGTTAATATGACTGAATTACAGTGAGGAACCTGGCCACAGAGATCCTACATGATGGGTGAGACTGCAAATCGAATAGACAGAGAGCTAAGCAGGCTGTAATAGCAAAAGGTGCTGCTATATGTGTTTGTTCTAATTCATTGCAGCTCAGGGGCCATACAACTGGTTATATATGAATGAAGTAAGGTGTAAATATATGGATAAACAGGATATAAAGTAATCAAGATTAAAATGTTCATATTAATCTCGATATCGATCATTATCACGATAAATGTGAAACCATTATTTCTAAAGAAGCAGTGTTTCCTCCTGAAATATTGTTCAGGAGTTATGAGCCAATATGCAAACTCCAAACCCAAAATCCAAGTTTCCCTCAGCTCAACTGACTTAATTGAAACTTTTCTTGCATTTTTTAAGCTATTCTGTCGCTAATTTAAACATTTGCATCATGTCATGAAATAATTTAAGTGTCGTGCTCTTTATTAATGTCAGAGAATAATGAAAGCTTCCTAAACAGCAAAACACTTTACAAATCTGAGGTAGAACATTGAAGCCAATGACGTAATAAAAGCTCCTCACCATGCTTACACAAGGCATAAGAAATATATTTAGTTTATATAATATTGTACCTTTGTAATATTACTATTGATGAAAATTATTTTAACAGTATGTTTTGTCATTGTTGTATTGATGAAACGCAGCATGCATGAATCACAAAGTGTAAAATATCAATATACTTATGATGCAGGAAGACAACTTGAAAGTTTGCATTCATTTTGACCTGATACTCTCTCTGAGCCCTGTCATCAACAGACACACTTATTTGCACAGCGGCGTCCAAAGTCCAGTTAGGAAACGGTGTCAGTAATGTGAAAAGACGCAGCGTTTTGTCTCATTGGATGTGTTTACCTGTTGCAGGTTCGTAAACACTGTCCTTGTTGTATTTCCCCTGGCTGGCCCTCCTCTCCCCGGCCCAGAAGTTCAGCGGGACTTTGACGTCCACTGAGCCCGAGGAGACGCACCGTGCCGCCGCGAGAGAAGCGGCAGCGGACCGCCGCAGAGACACAGTCACCCTCCGGAGCAGCATCCTCACACCGGCCCTGGAGCTCGAAGTTTAGCCGATAGCTGCAAAATACACCGTGTGTGTTAATGTCGAGTAAAACCTCATTAAATAACAACAGCACTACAACTCGTCAACAAGAGGAGCATGTGTACACAAGTGTGAACGCTACTCTTCCTCCACTCGAATACGTGTGACACTTCCATGATGTATGTAAGTGTTTGTAGAGAAGGCATCAACAGGGATCTTCACATTAAATGAGGTTTAAATGATAAATAACAGAAAAGTAAAGGTTCATTAAATGTTTCGTCAACTCACTTTATGTTGCTGGGGCTCCAAACAGGGGGGCGGGGCAAAGTGCGACGCTAGCTGACTGAGATCCGGCAGCTGCAAGAGCGTGACCGATGATTGGGTGGCTCCCCCGTCAATCACACGCAAAACAAATTAAAATCAATTTATAATTCAGAAACTAAACCTCTGATCGGACGTGAACCCGCTGAGGATCAAAAGCAGCGCGCGTGGAAACAAACGTGAAAAGATATTTAAAACTGCTTCAACGTCAAAGTGACGCTGGCGTTGTGGGAGGAGCCTCGGCGCACTGATATTCCGACCGGGCGGCTCGGCGCGGCACTCAGCAAGTATGGCCGGAGACAGCGAGAACCAGCTGAAGGACCGTGGCGACAACCCCAGCGTTATTCGACAGCCTTTCCTCATCGGTGTCTCCGGAGGCACCGCCAGTGGCAAGGTCGGACCCGCACCCAGCCGCCACGTCTGTTCTCGCGACCTGTCATGTTTAGATTTCGAGCGAAGTGACGAAGGGAGCTCGGCCGTTGTCCGCGCGCGAGTTGACCGCGTGGCTCCGAGCGGGTGATTGACAGCTCTATCATCTGTCCCAGCCGCCAGCCGCCAGCCGCCCGCCAGCACCGCGTTCATTTGACCTGCTTTTAACACGGCTCGTTATTCTGACCCAGTTTCTTCACCCGGGTTAATCCCCACCTCTTTGTACAAGATGGCAGTCATTGTCTGCTCCGGCCACCTTTTCTACTACGTGGATATCTGCGGGCTCAGCTCAGCTAGCCGCCTAGCATGAGATTCCATCACATGTTAGCTTAGCACCGCCGGCTGCGCTAGACAATAGCTGGCGCTAACACCCCCCCCCCCGAGGGTAGCTGCTCCCTGTTTGTAAACACTGCCGACCACACTTGCTTCCTGTGAACAGTTTCCTCTCGATGATGAGGTATAAGTCGTTAACGCGCCTCGCTATGTATCGTTGAATGTGTTTCCTTCAGTCGGAGTGACCCGGTGTGACCGCTCATGTTGAGTAGCCTAGATGTTGCTGTAATGAATATAACGGACTCGGGGGCCAGGGGAAAAAAAAACCCCAAGCTCCGATGGTTTCTTTGCTCGCTCCCACGTCCCATCGATCTGTTTATAAGCAAGTTAGATGAGTGCAGTGTGATATCAACCTAGATTATATGAAAAACAAACAGATGGTGTGTTTCATATGTTTATTTAAGCGGTTGCGTGGGCGGGCTGCATCCCACCGGCCCTCGATCCACAGACGTGGACACACGTGGAGGACGTCACTGTGTTTCTTTGTCTGTCCTCTGTGTCTACCTCACTCACGGTGGCTGGCTGGGGGGGGGGGGGGGGGGGGTCGTGTGAAGACTCTTTAGCTATAGTTTCATCCCAACTACTGTCAGTGGATCAAATCCACACACTGACGCCCAGTCTGTCTTGCGTCCTGGAAACTCGTCACAGGAGGCTGGAGTTGGCTTGTCTGTTGCTTTGTAACGACTAACTAGTTTAACTGGGAGGTTGGCGACGTCTTTCCTGGGTGGGAGATCATTCTCTTGAATTGGACGACGTCATTTAGTTTCCATTGGGACTGGTGCTTCACGATGATGGGCCGTTTTTTGTGAGATATGACAGCGTTTTCTTAGATCCTAATTAAAAAATATAATATTAATAATAGGAAGTTTGCTGTCAAATGCATTCTTCAATCAGTTATTTGCAAATTACCCACTTTGTATTAATTAACATGCTCCCCAGAATCAAAGAAAAACTGCAACTATTTTTTCCCCCAAAACTATCTTAATATATTCTTGGATTAGTTTGGTAAAACTAATTATTATTGTGATTTGTCACACTACTGAATGCCATCCTGGGTTTGATCGGTGGTGAGTTAAAAGTCAGGCCCGCTTGGCTCAAATTTTTTTGCATTCGAATGTGTTGACACAACCACCCAGTTCCCGTATGGGGGCGTCCAAATCCATCTGTAGCACAATTTCATGAACACAAAGGTGGCACAGCCTCGTGGAGCTGAGGAATGCCCAGTCAGCACCGGCTATCACCTAGTGTGGGAGGTCATTGAGTTCAAATGTGGTGGGACACCGGGCATTGGGTTGGTGACATTTGTTGACCTCCTGTGCCCACACACCATAATTCCTAGATGTACATGACTGTGGGTTTTATGTAACTGTTAATTTAGTTTTTATTTGGGCTGAATGTAAAGTAACCATGCTTCCTCTCACCCTGGTGCTGGTGTTCCTGCAATTTTCACTTGGGCCACCCTCTCCAACTCTCTTCTCTTTTTTTCTTTTCTATCAATGCAGTCGTCAGTATGTGAGAAGATCATGGAGCTGCTGGGGCAGAACAAGATCGACCACCACCAGAGGCAGGTGGTGATCCTCAGCCAGGACAGCTTCTACAAGGTGCTGACTCCAGAGCAGAAGGCCAAGGCTTTAAAGGGACAGTTCAACTTTGATCATCCAGGTATGAAGTCACTGGTTTGGTGCCACACTGCTGGGTAGAGCAGTAAACTACCGAGGGAACATTTGTGGGATTAATGGTATAAGTGACTGATTCTCCTTCCATTCTACACATATTAAAATTAGTACTCAGGTGGTCATTTAAATTGCAGTTACAAATAACCACATTGAAAATATGATTTAACACAATGCTTACAGTAGCTGACTTGTGTTCTGCCATGTGCTTTGGTGCCATGTGGAGATTTTTTCCCCAAATGTTCTTGGCAGGAGCATAGACGCCTTTTTTGGCGTCTGACTTTGCCCCCCCCCCGTTACTCTTGCTTCCTTTCTTGGCTCATTTTAAAAGCCCACCGTCAGCAGGCTTTTCTCAGAGGCAGCTGCTCTGTGACTCAGGCTGAGCCCAACACGTGCTACACGGATGGGATTCCTGCATTACCAAAGGTGCAGTGTGAGGGTCCCACGTGTCCCCGTCTTCACACTAAAGCAGAGCCAAAATCTTTTGAACCTTCAGTTGTTGCCATGGTAACTGATGTCCAAATCAGTATTGTAATGATTATGTTAACGACCACATTCGTTCCAAAGTGTTCATGAAATAAGTAACAGTAATCCAACATTATTCTTTATATAGAAAAGGACATTTAATCTAGTTGATATCTTTGAGTGCAACATGACATGTTCATGTTACCGGCAGTGACAGAAGGCAAGTTAAAACAACATTTGCAAGATGTCAACAGCCTGGAATAAATTTTCAAATGTGCAAAGATGACCTCCCAAAAAGTCGTGTTAAATCTGAAACCACCTGAAAACTAAACCAACAGAGCCGTCTGACCTGAAAACGTCTGATCTTCCTAGTATCACTGATCTTAATCTGACCTGCAGGCTAATGCATAATTCTTACTCCAGCTCTGAAACCACAAACTGGTATTCAGGGCAACCGCTGCACACTAACCTGATGTTTATCTCTCTCTCTCTCTCTCTCTCTCTCTCTCTCTCTCTCTCTCTCTCTCTCTCTCTCTCTCTCTCTCTCGTGTGGTTAAAATGCATGTAAAAAAAAAAATGAGTGTAAAAAGAATTTCCCCTTGAGGGATTAATAAAGTATCTCTTCTTTTAGTGATATGTCATCCGATTAACATCACAGCTTTCTCTTTTCTTGTCCCAGATGCCTTTGACAGTGAGCTAATCATGCAGACACTCATGCAGATCCTGCAGGGCGAGACTGTCCAGATCCCAGTATATGACTTTGTTTCTCATTCCAGGTGAGCACCCTGTTTTTATTTCCTGCTCAGTGAGCTTGACCAGTGTCCCAACATTGTGTCCCTGCAGATTGACACACTTTCTCTAGCCACAGACAGACAAGATACTTTTCTCTGTGTTGTTCTAGGAAAGAGGAAGTTATCACAGTGTATCCAGCTGATGTGGTCCTGTTCGAGGGGATCCTCATGTTCTACTCGCAGGAGATCAGAGATCTGTTCCAGATGAAGCTGTTTGTTGACACAGATCCAGACACGCGCCTCTCCCGCCGAGGTGTGTACTGAGGGACTGTAGAGCAGGTCACCTCCCAACATTTGTACTATTAACTATTGATAACATAACTACTCTGTTTAAAGACGAAAGTAGATTTGTTTGCTGCAGCAATAGGCTCTCACAGTTCACCACTTAACTCTTGCATTTTATACTACTGTGGGGTTTTATGTATTTTAGTTTTTTTTCTATGAGTTGATTTTATATAGTTTTTTCTGTCTTTCAGTTTTGAGAGACATCAGTGAGCGTGGACGAGAGCTGGAGCAAGTGCTAGCTCAGTACATTACTTTTGTGAAACCGGCCTTTGAGGAGTTCTGTTTACCAGTAAGTGATTTTCTAACTTGCATCATATCTGTAGTTGTACATTTGGCTATATTTTGCAATACACATTAGTTTAAATCTCTTGTCTTGGAACTTGAGCTTTGTTTGACCTTCTTTTCTTCTCTTAGACAAAGAAGTATGCAGATGTGATTATTCCACGAGGAGCAGATAACCTTGGTAAGGGCAAAGTGTAAGATAATAAACCATGTCCCCCATGGTTATAACCTCTACTACAGTCAGCCACCAGGGGGAGATCGATGTGCTTTGGCTTCACTATATCATTTTCAGTCCTTGACTTTGAGGCTTGAATGTGAGGAATAAAGAAAATTGGATGATGTAAACACGCCATCTGTTTTACTAGTTTTTCTACTTTTTAAATGCCCACCATGAGACTGACTGTGTTACAGATATGTAAAACTAATTCAGTGTCGTGGTCTTCCGTCCTCTGAATAACCATCTCTCTCTGTTCTCTTCCTGCAGTGGCCATCAACTTGATAGTGCAGCACATCCAGGACATTCTGAACGGTGGGCTGAACAAGCGTCACAGCGGCTGCCTGAACGGCCACAGTACCCCACGTCAGCGGAGGACCTCTGAGTCCAGCAGCCGGCCTCATTGACCTCGCCACACCTCTCTTCACAGTGCGGAGAGGGGTGTGGGGGTTGTGCTGTAAATAATGCCTGTTGAAATCACTGTATTTAAGAAAAGTGGAGAGGAAAAAAAAAATGTAAAAAGAATTGAAATGCCTTTTATTATACGATGACTACTCTCGTTCTTAGTTCCTTTTACCGTAATTGTTGGACGTGGAGTGCAGATTTTTGTCAGGAGGGTAAAAGAAGCTCTTAAGAAGAGACCATGGGTTTAAATTGACACTTTCATTTTTCTCCCAAATTGCATTATGTTTTTTTATGTATCCCCGCTGCTCCATGGAAAATTATGCTGATAATGAATAAAAGAGGGGAAACCTTTTTTATTTTGTAATCTCTGATAAAACTTGAACCCCTAATGGATGGGGGAGTTGGCTGAGTTCCAAACTAGAAGTATATGGAATAGAAGATGAGTGTAACAAACCAGGATTGCACTCTGTATTTGTACTGACAATCTTGGCGATGTTTCCTACACTTTTTTCTGTTTGGTGTCTCATTGTGTTGTTCCATGTAATTTGTCACACTAGAAGTCTGTTTACTACACAAAGTGTCCACCATGTTGATGCTGTTTAACATCTGCAGCAGCAGAAACACGCCACATGAATTTTCTCTACCGATCGTCACATGCAGAATAAGGTCGTGAGGGGCTCGACAGTTCATGACTATTGAATCCAGTGGTGTGGGTATTACAGTTGGGGGGACGCTTAGCCTATTGATGTATTGGCTGTCCCTATAAATACTTAGAACTCACCTGCTCCTGATACTTTATCGAAGTATTTAAGTATATCTTTTGGCCTTTAAAAGACAGAATCAGCCCTGTTGAATAAGATTCAATTATGATGTATACTCAGGTTGATTACACCATTTGGTTTGAAATGTCAGAATTAAAAGAAAAGGGTATGACGAGGGTGTTCAATGCCACAGCAATATCAGCTATTCCAGGTGTTTGGCCGTTAATATCCAGGACCCACCGCAATGCCTCTGCAAAGTTGCCTCAGGTTTCGTTAACATGTGCAGCCAGTAGCAACCGGTTTCCATTATAACACAAGGTTACAATAAAACTGTCGAAACCATTTGTATTCTACGTGCTGTAATTGTTGTGTATCGTGCAGATGAATGAATGATTTCTACGATGAGATTTGTACTGTACGGCTGGTGAGTATTTTGATGATTTACTTGAATTTTGTCAAATTGCTTGATGGTCAATAAAGTGATACAGCCCGGAGCATCTGTCAGGAGGTTTGATTTCAGGAGCGTGTGAGTGTTTGCAAAACAAAGCTTCTCACAAATGTAGGTCAGACTGTTCGTCAATGTGGCCGCTAGAGGGCGCACTTGACTGCTGCATCTGCTTTGTTCACTTGCAGACGGATTTTGAAGATTTGCTTAAATCGTGCGGCTTTAATACGAAAGAATGAACGAGAAAACAAACCTTTGTCATTCACAAAGCATGCAACAACACGCCTCTATCACACAGACTCTTTCAATATGTCGTCGACGCCTCCAACTAAAGCAAAACGAATCCATAGCAACCGAGGTGTTAGAATATACGAGGGGTGCGTGAAAGCAGCGGGGGGGAGCTTCAAGATGGTGGTGCGTACCGACATGCTAACGTGGCTCTGTAAACTCTGCACAGCTGGAGACTTTGGCTGAACACTAACATCTCATTTTAACACGACAGAAATTCGGGCTCCAGTTTAAAGCCACTCTGGAGAATGTGACCAATGTTCGGCCGCTGGGCGACGACTTCCGCTGGTTTCTGAAGGTGGGGTAGCTGCTGTCAAGCTAGCATGCTAATGCGTCTCTCCTCAGTGGGCTCAATCGTGTTGGTGTGTTTGGAGAAACTTAGTGACATCACCCGTGTTGGGATTAGCTCACGTACACTGGACTAATGTTACTGTTGCTGATGCTAACGCTGCTAGTGCGGTCATTATGTTGACACCCTTCAGTCTACACTTTGCACTGACAGATGCTCGAACTATTTATCACAAGCAACTTTAAATATAGTTCATAAAGTAATAGTCTGGCACTGTTTTAACTAGATCATTAATAAATCTCTTCTTGTGTCTTTACTCCGATCGTGACATAACTTGATGTTTTGGTTTTATTAAGAGAGATCTTAGTATCTCTCTTCTTTTCTGTCTCGCTCACACTAACTCTGTGATTTCCTCTTTCTTCAGCTGAAGTGTGGGAACTGTGGCGAGATCCCAGACAAATGGCAGTATATAACCCTCGTGGTAAGAACACACATAACGTGTGTCCATACATTTTTGTAATAATCGCACTCATGCACAATGCAACAAAATGTGGGTGTTTTTTTCCCTTTATTTCTCCCATAGGAGAGTGTGCCGCTGAAAGGAGGAAGAGGCAGTGCCAGCATGGTGCAGAAGTGCAAACTTTGTTCGAGGGAAAATTCAATCGGTACGAGCCGACGTAGTCATTTGAGTTTCATACTCTTGTCTTACCTGAGGTCAAAACCCTGCAAGTCTCATATGTCATCTGTTTCCTCACAGATATCCTTGGAGACACAATCACACCATATAATGTAAGCCAAAGTCCTGTACCTCTGCACAAATGAGCAGACTGGGGTCATGAGATTTTCAAAGGGGGGCTTAAACAGTTTTACTGGAGGCTCGGGAAATGGGAGGGGAAAATATCACATTAGTTTTCAAAAGGAGATCATGTCGAATGACCAAATGTGTTTGATTTGATTAAAGAGTAGTTTTGAGGTGTTTACTATTGTCCTCACTTAGTCAGATTAATAAATGATCTCACAGACGTCCAGAAATTGTATGAAACTAAGTAAGTTATGTAAGGTGGTTATAGGAAATGCCTTTTCTAAGCTTTTACCAAAGGAGATACACACAGTCTCAGCCTTAGAAATGATTTGTTAATCTACAGTGCAGCTTTATTGCACCCAACTAATCTGAGCATACTGTCAGTATGCCTTTTAATATAACATGTATTTGTCACAAACTCACCTTTTATGCAAATCCTGGAGATTTCAATGCATAAAACAGAATCCATAATACAATGGTTAGATGCTGAGTTTGAGATGGTTTTAATAAAGAGCAGCAACATTAAGAATAAAAGGCCTCCAGAACCTTTTAGAAAACCCTTTAAAGCAAATCTGACAGATGAAGTTTCTGACTGATAATAATATCACACCTAACATAATACGTTGAGTGTAACGTCTTATTTTTCGAGCCAATAACGATGCGTGCGTCCAGTGTTTGTTTGTCTTATGACGTTTGTTTGCTGGGTTGAAGGTTGGTGACAGTGAAAGCTTCAAAACAATGGTGCAGTTTGAGTGTCGAGGTCTGGAGCCCGTCGACTTCCATCCAAAAGTGAGAAGCTTTGTTTGAACCAGAGTTTTACTGTTACATTTCATTTTTACTGTGTGTGTGTGTCTGTGCATGTTTAATAGTTGACAGTTACGACTGCTGATCTCAAGTGAACTTAAATAACTTTAAGGTTAGGATATGTGAGTCTATTCTTCAGTTGTCAATGAAGTTTGCCCAAAATATATTTTTCTTATTCTAGGCTGGATTTGCTGCACAAGGAGCAGAGTCTGGGGCTCAGTTTCCTGAAATTAACCTAGAAGAAAATGTAAGAGCAGTGAGAACAACTTGTCACCCAGCCTTTAACGGTTTCTGTGTAGTTTTTGTTTGTCACACAAGTGTTAACATTTCAGGGAATGTTTGACTTGAAGCTGAATGTCAATCATTGCTGCTGCACTGCTGGCTGAGGCTAATGTTGTTTCATTCATCTGTGCGCTTCGCTTCAGTCATCAATTCCCTGAATGCTTAGAAAGTGATTTTCAATAAACTTATGTTGTGAACATTTCAGGACTGGACAGACTACGATGAGAAAGTCAAGGAGTCGGTGGGAATATACGAAGTCACCCATAAATTCATCAAGTGCTGATTTCATCATGTGACGAGCCTCAAAGATTGACGACTGAACACTGCGGCCAATCATATGCAGGCCTGGTTTCCTGGCAACATGGATGCGTCTGTGGCTCGGGTTGGTTGATGATGAACGTTAAAAGAAGTGGAATAACAACACAGGTTGAAACATACACACATCTTGGATTGATGAACGTGCCCCAAAGACAAGTTTTTTTTTCAATACCTCAATAAAATTGAAGGTTGGAAATTGTGTAAGGTTTTTCTTTGATGTATATCCCTTATTACCATTAGTAACATTTGTAAGTAAGTACTTTAAGTGTATCGGGGGCTTAACTGTTGGAAAGTAGTCGAGACAACATGAGGCCACATGAACATTTGAAAACTCAGGCAGCAAGTCAGCATAGGAATCCTGAAAAGGGATCTTAATGTTGGACTGAGTAAAGATCTTCCTAATACTACCTGATCAATATTAAATGAGGAGCTACATTTGTGCAACCTTAGGTGAAGAGTTAGAAAGCAAGTGTTCCAGATGCTGTGTGTAATAGCACATCAACAAGATCATAGTCACAAAATTCATAAGAAACATAAATGGAGAGGTGTATGATTCAGATGAAGTTAATATACTTCAATTCTTTAAAGTTTACACACATCTACAACTTAGTGATTTGGATCAACAGGTTTTAAGAAGAATATGTTTTTACCCAAATATACTCATAGACTGTGAGACACTTTCCTCACCGAGTCAGGCATCGTGTGAGACAGAGACGATCTTTGCCGTGTGGTGCGTTTAAAGACTGTAGTTCCCCTCGCTGCCTGTGTGTGTGTGTCTGTGTCTGTCAGTGTGTGTAGACCTGCAGCTGAACAGAAGCGACCATGGCACCTGGAAAGAAGAACCGAGTGTTTGTCATCGGTGTGGGTCTGACAAAGGTGAAGTACAAACACACACCATTTTACAAATGTACACAATTCAAAACACAAGAAGAGCTTATACATATATATATATATTACTGGACTTGAAGCTAGCGTAGCATGCTAACTTCACATAGCCTTGTTGCCCAAAACTTGAACGTGACAGTTTCTGCACAGCCTGGGGTGCGTGTGTGTGCGTGCGTGCGAATCATGGAGCTGTGTTTAATCATGCTAATGTTTCGACTGCTTCACTGTGTCCGCCCCAGCTTTCATGTTGGTAGCACAGTTAGCATGTTTTTAGCTTTTGAATGGAGGGTTTTCGTGAGTTACGCAGCTCGTCACACTTCGCTCCTCAGTCAGTCAAAGGTTCATGGCCACAGCCACAACACTAACTGTGCTAAGGGTCATGTCATGCATGTTGATTTCAAACCTTTCTCTCGATTGCATTTATTTATTTTAGTTGTTGACACACTGGGGCTTTGTCAGTTCAGTGCATTTCGTCATTATTCAAGTGCAACAACTTGTTCTGTGCAATGTCTCCTCTGTACAGACGGTCCAGATTAGTCACTTTACTTAAAGGTCCAGTGTATAAGATTTAGGTGAAAGGGAACTATTGGCAGAAATTTAACGTAAAATAATTCTCATGATGTTTTCACTAGTTTGTTTTAGGGTGGGCGATATGGACCAGATCTCATATCCTGGTATTTTAAGTCCGAATGGCGATATACGATATATATCGGTATTTTAAACAGAACGGTTTAAGTGTTTTGTTTTAACTCAATGCCACAAGTAATCATCATAAACTTGTTTTATTTAGACTATCAAAGTCAAAATCTTCCAGGTTTTCATTTTCTGCTCAACAAAAAAAATGTGCAAGTAACAGATCCAAACAACAGGTGTTACCTGTTTGACACATGAACAGTAATATGTAAAAAAAAAAGAAAAAAAGAAAGAAAGTAAATTATAGTTCAAAATCAAATAGCCTACATCCTACGCAATAGGTATAATTCTGGTGTTACAGAGCTGTGCAAATAACAAACATGGAAACAGTATTACAGGCCTGACCTGTTTGGAACAGTATTAGGTAAAAAAGCTCTTCAAAAGTTTTGAAAATAATACAAATATAAACAAAAAATGGCTGACCCTGGAACAGAGAAATAGAATAAAACATACATTAGCCCATATTCCTTATTGAAGGGGTCCTCTCTACGGAGGCCTCCATGTTTTTTACATTAGTCCAGACTGGACAAACTAAACCCTTTTTGAGTTTTGATGACAACTGAAGCTACCACAGGTTCTTTTTCATGTTAGGAAGGAGAGGGTGATGTGAGGGCTGTTCAGCTGCAACATGCAACTTCAACACTAGATATCACAACATTTTACACACTGTACCTTTAAGTGCTGCTCATACGGTCTCTATTGCGATTCTTTATTTTCATTCTGTGTTCGTCCTTCCCTGCTATCTGTAATCTGTAAAGCATTTTAGGGAACATTGAAAGGTGTTATATAAATCCAAGTTATTATAAAATTAGTTGCAGATCTACAATACATTAAAACAACACCTGTCAACTATTGAAACAAATGAGCAGGATTTACTCTAAAATATATGCTGTATATAAACCTTGTCCATCAAAAGTTTATTGTCGTATAATATTTGTTCTTGGTATGAATTTTGTGTTTAAGTGTATTGATCTATCAAGTTAAACGCTCCAGCATCTTTTAACGAAGCTCACTTAGAACCACCTGAAGATTACTTTGCATATGATTTACAGAAGAGTTTAATGTTTTCACATGTAAAATATTTAATTTGAAATCATTCATTGTTACATACGAAAGTTTATAAATACTATGGCACTAATCGGTCTGACTTTTCCTTAATGTTGCTGCAGTTTGACAAGCCTGGGGCCCGAGAAAACTATGACTACCCTGACATGGCTAAGGAAGCAGGTGCTTATCTTCACTGAATGTGGACTCTGTTCAGTCCTTCAAAAGATACCATATCTGATCATCTGTAGTGCATCTTGTTCTCTAACATGTTTTATAACTGCATGTTTAGGTCAAATGGCCTTAGCGGATGCAGGAATCCCATATTCTGCCATTGAGCAAGCCTGTGTAGGATACGTCTATGGTAAGACCTTGTTGTCAAGTCTCCAATGAAATGTGATTGAAATGTTATCCACTGAGAGCATAAATACTTCCAACTTGATATTTCCATGTAGCTTCATACATACTACACAAAGAACTCTGTAAACACTACATTTTGCAAAGTCAGAAACCGAGCATTTTTGCTAATGAGGAGAAAATGCTGCGTCTGTAAAGCTGATTTTAGACATGCACTGAACTCCAGATAATCGCAGTTGTCTGTGTCAGTTGCTCCACACATTCTGGTAAAGTCTGGAGAATTCACTGAGTTGGTGGGCGCGTTGATGATGTGTCCAACGCGTGACGGGCACAAAACTCAACAAAAGAAAGAAAGGAAGTAAGATCTCATCCCTTTTCTTACTCTGTCAGGGGACTCCACTTGTGGGCAGAGGGCCATTTATCACAGCCTGGGCCTGACGGGGATCCCCATCCTCAATGTCAACAATAACTGCTCCACAGGCTCCACTGCTCTCTTCATGGCACGACAGGTGATCCAGGGAGGTGAGTGAAGAAAGAAGAATTTTTATGTTGATAATAAAAAGGAAGCTGTCAAAAGTCTATAATTGGCTCTAAAACAGATTTGTCAATGGATTCACAGTGGTTTCAACCGGTTTTCACAGTAGAGAGAAGAATTAGAATTTCCATCGAGACTTGTTTTGTAGCATAGTCTATCACCTGTGTAACAGAAACTGTAAAACCCACTCTTCTTCTTTTGCAGGTCTCGCTGACTGTGTGCTGGCTCTGGGGTTTGAGAAGATGGAAAGAGGCTCTTTGTCCTCAAAGGTAATCAGAGGATGTAGAGATAGAGACAAAATGACTTGAGTGCTTCATATTATCTTGCAATTTACCAAATAGATGTTGTGAGTGTTTCCACCGCCCGCTACACACACACACACACACACACACACACACACACACACACACACACACACACACACGCGCGCAAACACACGCGCGCACACGCACACACACACACACACACACACACAGAGCGCGCACACACACAGAGAGCGAGCGCGAGCGAGTGAAACCACTCAAGCTTGGGAAGATGGAACACTGGCAGCTTGCAGAATCGTTGTCAGTTGCTCATCATTTAAACGTTATTCTCGAAAAGCAAAAAACCACCTTCCTCTGATTCACAGTAGTTCGAATGTATTCTCAGCTTTTCAAGAACTTCCTTCTCTCATCTTTTCCCTCACGATTGGCCTTTTGTATGATGCACCTCATTGATGAATATTTTATGAGAATTTATTGGTGTGGCTGCACCAGAAGAAATAAGGAGCCTCTGCTGCTGTTTATTAGTTTTCATTTTCTGCTTTTCGCTTAAGCTGGGGAGCAATGGAAGTAAACAGCTGGGCAGAGTAAAGACTTCTTTTAAAAAAGAAAACTTGAACACTCTGAGCCGTCTGGCAACGTGAATTTTCTTCTTTTTTTTTTTAAAAAAAAAAAAAAAAAAAAAAGATAAAAATATAGGAACATAAAAACTTATGTGAGAAATACCTGTTTCTAGTTTATGGACAGGACCAATCCCGTTGACAAGCACCTGGAGATTATGATCAACCGTTATGGGATTGTGGCAGCACCAGTAGCACCACAGATGTTTGGCAACGCTGGCAGGGAGCACATGGAGAAATATGGTAAAACCCATGTTTGTGTTAAACATCATAATTGCTTAAATGAGCTGAAATATGAAAGTTGCGATTGTGTCTTGCATTGTTTCACAGTTGTATTGTGATTAATATGTCAATAATTGTGTCAATGTTTTAAAGGCACAAAACCAGAACACTTTGCCAAAATTGCCTGGAAGAACCACAAGCATTCGACCATGAACCCGTAAGAAACTTCAGAAATTTGGAAAAACATAATTCTGCCAATAAATTCATATTTCAGAATCAGAATCGTCATCATGTTCACAGATACAAGGAATTTCTTACATTGCACTTGCATAGAAATAGAAATACACTGAGGGACAAGCACAAAAGAAAATGAATAATATAAAATACTTAAATTTTATATTGAATTACTCTATATATGTACTAATTTAAATTATAGTTGTGGATGATCTTAACTGTACTGTACAATAGCATGTGAAAAGAAGAAGTAGAATATGCAGTACTGTACAGTGTACACCATCAGAGTATGTGTACAAATCATCTGGTTCGGTGTGTTGTTAACATTACAAATTGCACAAAGAAGCAG